GTTAAGTAAAAATTAATAATTTGACCACATAAAAGTTTAGTAATTTGATCCAAACAAATGCACAAATTGCACTTATCAGTATCCTACTTCATCAGCAATTCTATTAGCAGGGTTTGGACATCCCCTACATGTTCCCTATAAATATTAGACTTTTCTATACAATTTTATCATGTGAGAAAAGAGATTACTAGAACTTTAGGATCAATTGTATATTTCTTCATTATTATTGGTGCAATAAAATCTCCTAATTCCACTACCATATTTTCTTGTCTTCTTTTAATCTCTTGCTTGTGATCAAATATTTCATTATTATTTCATATAACTTCAGCATCTCAATCCAGTGTTTGATTTTATAACAAGTGGTATCAGAGCGTCAGGTTGAGCAATTCCGCAAGAGCGTTTGATTTGTTCGAGGTTTTTGTTCGTGATGACGTCATGAAGTATGAAATTTCGCTTTTGGATCGAAGCACTAGATTTTCGCTATGACAAGTTAAGATGCGTGCAGTACTCACACAACATGATTTGGATGACTCGTTATTGGGAATTGATAAGATGCCCGCAACTTTGACTGTAGCGGAGAAATTACAAAAGGATAAAAAGGTAGTTTCTCACATTCATTTTCATCTATCAAATACCATTCTTCAGAGCGTTTTAAAAGAGGGTTCAACAGCTGCTTTATGGTTGAAGTTGGAGCAATTGTGCATGACTAAAAGTTTTACAAGTAAGTTGCATCTCAAGCAACGTTTATACTTTCATTGAAGGGCAAAATAAGGATCATTGGAAGATCATCCTAACTGTATTTAAAGAGATCATCGCTGATTTGAAAACTTTGGAAGTAAAATATGATGAAGAAGATTTGGTCTTAATCCTATTGTGTTTGTTGTCCGCTTCGTTTTCTTCATTTAGATACATGATTTTGTATAGTTGTGATACTCTCACCATAGATGAAGTGTATGATGCTTTATTTTCAAAAGAGAAGATGAAGCATCCGGTTTCAAAGGTTAGAGATGGAGAAGACCTTGTTGCTTATGGTGGTTCTGGAAGGGGCATATCGAAGTTTAAGTTCAGTAATCAAATTTGTAACTTCTGCAAAAAGAATGGGCATTTGTAGAAGGATTGCTACAAATTGTAGAATAAAGAAAGGTTGGCTGTAAGTCGATATGGAAAGCAATTTGAGACTTCAGGTAAAGCAGACCTCACAGAGAACATTGTAAGTGAGGGAGTTATCTTGACTATTTCTAACATCGAGTCTAAACCGAGGAAGATTGGTTTCTAGATTCAACATCTGTGTTTCATATGTGTCATAAAAAGGACTTGTTTATTATATATGAAATAATCTCCAAATTTGTCGTGGTTATGAGAGACAACATACCTTGTCAAGTTACTAGAATTGATACAATCAGATTGAAGCTATTTGGCCATATTTTACATGTTCCGAATTTGAATAAAAATCTCATCTCGTTGTCTATCCTTGATTCAAAAGGTTATGAGTTCTTTGGTGGAGATGGATGTGGAGTTTTGAAGGTTTGTAAGGTGCCCAGGTTGTATTGGATGGACAAAAAAGGTCTCAGTTATACATCTTACAGGGTCGTGCAGAATCTAGAAGAGTCAATCAACACATGTTCAGTACCGTGGTGGATATTCAGTTTGGTACAATACCTTTAAGAACTCGTGAAGGGTCGGATTTGAGGAATACTGCTCAATTGAGTTCAGAAAATATGGATAAGGCCGCTTTACCACTATCACCTACGGTGTCATTGTATTCAATTGTTAGGGACGGACCAAGTGATAAAAGATATTTTAATGCTGATTTTGTCGAGCTTGCTTTCAGCATAATAGAATGTGTACAATCTAGCAAGAGTCCTTCTTTAAAATCATTTGAGTTTGATTCTTCCTTGGGGGTGTGTTACAGCCTATTTTTGTGAATTTTAAAATCATTATAATTTTTTGGGAATCTGAGATAATTTTGAAGAGTAGTAATTAGATTCATTGAAGATGTGAAGTATTTTGTGTTTGGTTGGAGAAATCAATTTTGATTATTGTTGAAGAGTCAGTTCATTCCTTACATATGGATTTTTTCTCCAAGTGGAGAATATTTTGAAGCTTTGTTCGTTATAGTGAAATTCGTGTCAAGATAGAGTTTGTTAGAATTGGGGTGTAACCCGAATTCTTTGTTGAAATAATTGAAGAATTATAATTGAAGTACACGTTAAGAAGAATTCAGTTTGGAATAATATCGGAGTCCTTTGTCAGGTTGAAATTCTATTTTGGAAGACCATTGTGAGTTGAAATTTATTTTGGACTCGACTTTTTGGTATCCTATTTCATCAACAACTCTACTATGAGGGTTTGGACATCACCTATATGTTCCGTATAAATATTAAGCTCTTTTATATAAGTTTATAGTGTGAGAAAAGAGATTACTAGAACTTTAGGATCAATAGTATATTTCTTCATTATTATTGGTACAATAAAATCTCTTAATTCCACTGCCATATTTTCTTGTCTTTTTTTATTTTTTTACTTGTGATCAAATACTTCATTATTATGTCATATAACTTCAACATCTCAATCCGATGGTCGGTTTCATAACAATACATATACTAGGTTAAGCTTCAAATAATTTATAACTCACATTAAGATAATTCATGACTACAAATTGAGATGGAGAAAATATAGGGGCTCTTATATTTATAGGTGCATATGAGGATAATTTTTTTTATTAACATTGATAATTATCCCTTCGTGGATTCTTCGATGCTGATTGGGCTGGGGAGTTGATGACAAAACTTCGACTAGCCCCTAGACCGTGTTCCTTGGTTCCA